TAGATGATACGGAGTGGGAGAGGGGGAATGCTGAGGTGAGGGAGTTAGCATCCTGGAAGGCTAAAAGAGCCAACCAGAATAAATTTAGTTTAAACGAGGATGAGGAGGAAGAAGTGGGGAAGCTGGTGAGGAAGGGGGGGGATTTACTGAACATCATGGACCTCACTAGCACAATGCATAGAAGCTGCTAAGCTTTATGGGCCAAGCGCTTTAAGTGAAGGTTTGTTTAATTTGCATTGTAGTATTGAATATAGAATATAGAACTGTGTGATTAATATTGTGTTTTCTTACTTTGCAGCTGAAATGGATAAATTTTTGAACACTGCTGGAGGAGTAGCCATCCCCAAGAAGCCAAGGAAGAAGTCAAAGACTTCAACCAAGCAAGTGGATAAGGGGAGGGTTGGGAAGAAGGTAGTGCTCACTACTTCAGCTGAGGCGGAGGAGGAGGTGCCACAGTTGAAGAGGAAGGGTTGGGAAGAGAGGAGGGCACTACAGAAGAAGAAGAAGGTGGTGGAGGAAGAGGAGAGGGGGAGCAAGGTTCCCTAGTTTGTACCTCAACCTCCTCCTATTGAGCTAGACCCTGAGCTCAGACAGTTGGAGGAGGGGGCTGAGGTACAAGCTCCCGGTAAGGGAAAGGGCCCTATTCCCCCGATGGCGTTTCAGAGTAGCCTGTTTGAGGCGAAGAACATGACGGGGGCTAGGTGGTTCATCAACACCACCTTCCCCGAAGTGGACAAACGCAACACGCGGGATGAGGCTCTGAGGTATTGTGGGGCTTCAGTGGTGAAGCACGTTTTAGCGGTATGTCGAGTTATTGGTGTTGTTTGTTTAATCTCTTTCTTCTTCTCTTCTTTTTCTCTTAACTTCTACTTTGATTTGCAGAGCGTGAGCTGGGTGAATGGTCTAGCCCAGGAGTTCATGGATAGCGTGAAGGAGCGCTCCCTCTTGCAGAGGCAGTGTGACCAGCTATAGAAAGAGAAGGAGGAGCTGGAGAAGAAAACTAAAGATCTGCAAGAGGCGTTGAACGAGGTGGTTTCAACTGTGAAACAGTTGGAGTAGGAGAGGGCTTCCCTAAGCACCAAGCTCGTCTTTGAGGAGAGCAAATGAAGAATCTCTGAAAGTGAGCGTGAGGCTCAAGCGAAAGAAATAGTGCTGATAAAGGATGCGTTCGTGGAGCTGAAGGAGAATGTGCAGATGTTGGTGCACAATGGGATGAAGGAGCACATCAGCAACTTCATCAGCTCTAGCTCGTTTGACAACATCGTCAACTTGTATCGGCTGCCCACTGCCATCATTGCCTTCACGAACTACAGAAAGAAGGTGAAGGCTGAATATCTTGAAGTGGATATTACAAAGATCACCTTCGGCGAGCAAGAAGAAGGAGTGGAGGAGGACGGTGAGAGCATGTCAGCAGACTTCTGTCCTCAGATCAAATTGAGGTGGGAGCATGATGCAGACGGACGTGTTGTTTTCCCTCCACAGTTCGACTTCGAGTTCGTTGTAGTGGAGGAAGAAGGGGCAGAGGTAGAGGAAGACGAAGTGGAGGCAGGAGTGGAAGGGACTGAAATGGATGAGAGCCAACCAATTCCAGAAGTGGAGATTCATCCAGTTCCTTTTGACGATGAGCAGCCTCCTCTGCCAGACGAGCAGCAACCAACACAGCCACCTCTTCCGGCTGAGCAAGAGCCAGTTGAGCCACCTCTTCCAGCGGAGGAATAATTTTTGTTTGTTATTTTTTCTTTTATGTTTTTATTATAACAATAGTAAAACAATCTGTTGTAATACTTTTTTTCTTTGAATGCAAATTCAGTTTTGAAATTAGATGTTGTGTTTACTTTACATTTTTGTTATTTTTATTAATAGAAGAATTGAGATTACTTGAGATATGATTCGAAGAGAAATTAATCATTTCAAAGATGAAAAGAAGTTAATCACTTTGAAAACGAACTAAAGAGAAGTAAAATACTTCAAATGAATTAAGAACAAGTACATCATTTCAAATGAATTGAAAAAAGATAAAGCACTTCATATGTGAAGTGACATTTATTAACAGAAGTGAGGTACAAGGAATAAATGAACTGATTGACCTTGGGTACATAGAATAAGAGATAAAATGAATCTCAACAATCACAAAGTAAGAAGTGTAAAGAATTAGTAAGACATAGATTACTTGAAAGAATTCTATTATGGGTAAAATTTCTTCACGTTATTGATATTCCAGACTCTAGGAACTCTCTTCCCTTCAGCATCTTGGAGGATATAGGCACTAGGATGTGGCACTTCGGCCACTGTATAAGGGCCTTCCTAGTTTGGGGCCAATTTGCCAAAATGAGTTTCAAACCTTGTTAGGCCAGCCTTTCTGAGAACAAGGTCTCTTACTTTGAATGTTCGAGGGCGGACTCGTTTATTGTAGAAGTTGGCTAATTTCTGCTTGTATACAAGAGTTCGAAGCCAAGCTTCTTCTCTAACTTTAGCAAGCAGATCAAGGTTTTCCTGAAGTAGTTGTCCATTTCGTCCTTCATCAAAATGGGTGACCCAGAAGCTTAGAACTCCTATTTCAATAGAAATGATTGCTTCGGTACCAAAGGCCAGGTGGTAGGGTGTTTCACCTATTTCATGAAATTATATGCTTTAGAATATGCTTTACATATTATGCATATTTGATCTAGGGTAGAATTTTAGGTGAAGGAGGGGGATAGAATGAAAATAGAATGAAAGGAACTTGGGTTGGAAATAGTACCTGTGGCAGTTCGGCTCGTTGTTCTGTATGCTTAGAGGACGTTGTTGAGCTTGTTTGCCTACTTGACCTTGTGCTACTCCAACCTCGGCTTTATTTCTTCTAGAAGGCATTTATTGACAGATTCTACCATACCATTGGACTCCGGATGATAAACCGAGGTGAACTACAATTTGATCCCGTAGCTAGAACAAAAATCTCGGAAATAAGTGCAGTTGAATTGTGTTCCATTATCAGCCACAATCTGATTCGGGATCCCATATTTGCAGATGATCAAACTGAAAACAAAGTCTTCGACCTTCTTGGATGTAAGACTGGATAGTGGTTGAGCTTCAACCCATTTTGTGAAATAATCCACGCCTACGATTAGATGGGTTACACCACCAACCCCTTTCACGAATGGGCCTAGAAGATCCAGTCCCCACTGAGTGAATGGCCATGGTGCTACCAAGTTCGTGAGCTCCTCTGCTGGTTGGTGAGTCAGATGTGCAAAGAATTGGCACTTCGGGCATCTCTGAACAAAGTGAGTGGCATCCTTATACATGTTTGGCCAGTAATATCCCTGCCTTAAGACTTTTTGAGCCAGAGTTCTAGCACCAACGTGGCTCCTGCAAACACCTTCATGTACCTCCCGAAGTGCATACTCGGCTTCATAGGGATTCAAACACCGTAGAAGAGGGAGTGAAAAAGATCTCTTATAGAGGACCCCATTAACGAGTGTATACCGAGATGCTTTCTTTCTCAACTTCATTGCCTCCTGCCTGTCCTCAGGTACTATCCCATCTCGTAAAAAGGAAAAAATTGAGTCAGTCCAACTCGACGTGTTTGGATCTGTGCTGATCTCCATTATCCGTGGCTTCATGAAGCTTGGTTCATCTAAAACCTCCACAAAAACTGATCTGGAACTTAAGGAGCTATCAGAGGTGAATTTTGAGAGTGAATCTGCCTGTTCATTTTCAGTTCGGGGAATTTTGCTCAGATAGAATTTTTGAAATTTGCACTTCAGCTCAGCCACCAAGGCTACATATTTCACCATCATAGGATCAACGACTTCACAGATTGAGTTGGTTTGGTTCACCACTAGCTGGGAGTCACTGTATACTTGGATTGCGTTAATTTTCAACTTCAATGCTAGCTGTAGACCAAGCAGCAGAGTTTCATACTCAGCCATGTTGTTTGTTGCATCGAAGTTAAATTTTAGGGTATGTTCACTTCGATATCCATCTGGGCCAATCAAGAGAGCACCAGCTCCTAAACCCTTGCTACTAGATGCCCCATCAACATATAAGGTCCAGTCGTTTGGTTCTAGATTAGG